CCTTTTTCTCTAGATCTTAAAAAGAGAAGGGGAAATTTGGTGCCCATTTTTCAAGAATAAAAAAAGCAGAGTCTCTGAGCCAATTTCCAGCCTGTGTTTCCTGCCCTCCACCTATGACAGGTGTGAACTTGAGTGAGAGCTCAGAAAGTCATAGGTGTCAGCAGTTTCTTTCCTGTGCTTGACTCCCAAGAAACTCCTGTCCTGGGCAGGGCTGGTGTGCCTGTGGGTGGAGTTCTTTGTGCCTATGCAATACTGGAAGAAGCCACTAGGTGGGAGTCAGGGACAAATTCTGGAAAGTCTAAATCCCAAAGAATAAGGTGTGGGCTTTACAAGAGAAAAATAGCAACCTCCCCCGCCCGCCCCCGCCTTTTTCAATTAAAAAGATGACATAAGTACCTTATTAGTGAAACTGCTAGACAGTGCACCTGGGTCAACTGGCAAAGAGAGTTCTTTCCCATTTTCCTTGATACCCAGGGAACAAAGCGTAGGACTGGGAGGCCCCCACTGTTTGTGGACCCAGAGAAGAGATGGGAGAGCTGAAGGCTGGTCCTAGGGGCATAGATCTGACCTTACATTGTCATTGGTGAGAAGGCCTATTCAGACTCCCTAATTTCAGTGCCTTTTGCTGGGGCAGTATTAAGATGGCTTCCTCCTTTCAGGAGGCATTTCCTGACCCCCATGGCTGCCAAGCCCTGCTGTAAGGAAGCCTCCAGAATTATGGGGAATTTTGAATACACTTTTCCTGGCACAGCACCGCATATTGAGGTCTTCAGCCACTGCAAATTTAGCAGTTTTATTTTTCTTGGATTTTGATCCCCTCCCCTCGCCCCCACCACACATACACAAATTGTACCCTGATCTTTAAATTCTAGAGATCAGGCTTTTTTTCAGGCCTGATTTGAGGAGACTATTTCAACCCCTAAGAACCAATGTTTATAAATGACCAAGAATGTGCAAACACTGGTGAAAGAGCAAATAAATCTTCCCCACGCAATTTCCTGCTTCAGACCCTGGGGACATGGTGGGTGATGTTGCCAGGTTAGCATAACTTGAGGTCTGAGCATGTAGACACACAGCCACCCGTGAAGAAGGCCTGCCAGAGCCACACCCCCTGGAGCCTTCTGGCCTTTTAGGCACCTGCCGGTAGGCAGGCAGGCTCTGGAGAATTCCTGCTTCCAGGCAAACTTAGTACCCTGCAATTCAAGGAACTTCTGAAAAGGGTTTCCTAACCTCTTACTGCTCAAATCCTGTCCTGAGATCTGCAGCGTGAGCATGACCTGGAAGCTTGTTAATGATGCACAGTTTTCAGCCCCATTCTCAACCTAATGGGTCAGAATCTGCATTTTTACAAGAACTCTCTTTAGCCCAGGCAGTTCATTATAGATGGGGAAGCATTGTCCTGCCCCAGGGGTCCGCAATCTATGGCCCACATTTGGCCTGCTGCCTAGTTCTTATGTCCCATGAGCTAAGAATAATTTTTACATTTTTTGGCGACTGAGAGAAATCCCAAGAATATATTGCAATGTTAAAATGATATAAAATTATATTTTCAGTGTCCATGAATAAAATGTTACTGGGACATAGCCATGCTCATTGATTTATGTGTTGGCTATGGCTACTTTTGTCCTGCAAATAGCAGTTGAATATGACAGAAATCATATGGCCCAGAAAGCCTAAAACATTTGCCATAAAGCCCTTTTACAGGAAACATCTACTGACCCTTGTCCCGACCCATTTATTCATTCAGTCAGTCAGTCAGTCAGTCAGTCATTTGCGACATTGGTTAACAAAATCCAGTAAGTTTCAGCCGCACACTTTAAGGCATATATATGTTTACACTGTGTTCACCTCCCATAGTTAGTTTCTTTCTGTCACTACATATGTGACCCCCTTTACCCCATCTTCCTCCCCCCCTCCCCATTTTTAAGGTGGGCTCTCATGCTTCTGCACGGTGGGGACTTGGGCTGTGGTGGCCAGGCTGCTGTTTCACTGCTTGCCAGCCCAAAGGAGCAGTGTCCTCAGGCTGGCCTCTTCCTTCTCCCCAGTGGCAGGCCCACTGTGTAGTGCACCCTTTGGAGGACACAAGCCTGTATCTGACTTTACCCAGGGGGGTCCTGGAACCGAGCACCGCGGCCCAGAGGCCAAGGCTCAGGGCTGAGCTGGAGCTCAGGATGCAGGTGATAATAGGTCAGCAAAATGGCGTATGACCCATGAGACCCCTCTCAGTCCACAGTTCTTCTAGAGTGGATGCTGCTGACTCCTGGCAGGAGGAGCAAGGGAACCCTACCCTCAGTCATTCTCGCTTCAGTACCAAAAGTTCCAGCCCATCCTGACTGTCATGGGGCCCCTTCTAGACCCTGGGATGAGGAGGAGGGCAAGCTGCGTGGGTTCTCTTGTCCAAACCTGACCACTCTGCCTCTTAGCTGTGTTTTTACTCCCCAAATGTTCAGTCTCTCAGTCTCCTGCCCTTTGCCCTCAGCTGGCTGCCTCATGTTCCAGGTAATAATGAGTTGAGTGCAGTTGCCGGTGAGCGAGTTGCTCTGGGAAGTCCCCGAGGGCTGGCAGGGTCACTGTAATGACCCGTATTTATGTACCTTGTGTGGTTCCTGAGGACTTCTCTCTTCAGTGATGGGTTCAGGGCGTCCCTGAGACTCTCCCTTGCGGAAGCAGATGTAAGGGAAGCAGGAATTGCTCCTTTACACGGCCCCCCCACAACCATCTCCCCACCAAGGGCAGCCTAAACCTTTCAGAGTAACTGCTTAGGCCAGATAAAACCCAGGCTTCTAAATCTTTTGGGAGTCATGGATCATTTTGATAAAATGATGACAACTTTATCTTCCGAGAATAGTGATTTATGTACATTTTATGAACATATTCAGGGGCCTGTATGTTCCCCAAAGCCCCTCCTTGGACCATTGTGCGATGCCCCTAGCAGGATATTCTTCTGAGTGAGGGGATGGAGCCAGGGCTTACCTTGCGGGCACCACGATGGGGCCATGCCCGGGCCAGCTGCCACCTGGGGGATTAGTGGGGCAAAGGTGCCTGTTATTCCTTTATCCGTCGCATCTCATTCAGTTCACCAGCCATACACACATGCCCTACTCCTAGGTCATTTGCAATGTTATTTTGTGGACTTTTTGAGTTGAATTACAATATAAATAAAATGTCCTTTGGTGTTTAAAAAAAGGCGGGTGGGGTGGGGCTGAGAAAAGACTTGCTACTTGAGGATACCATAAAAATATGTCAAGAATTTAGCTGCAACTTGTCTGGATTCCTCCCTCCCTTCCTCCTCTCCTTCCCTCCCCCCTTCCCCCCTTCAATTCATCACACATAAGTTGAGTTAATAGGTGAAACTGGCCCTGTCCTTTCCTCTTCGAGTTGAGTATCTTTACTCCGGGGAAACAGACCTTCAAGATTCATTTTCTCCAAGTGGAATTTTAGTCTTATGTTGCCAATCTTACCATTTGAGCCTCATTCTTTCATTCAAATAATGTGTCATTTCTTACCATGTACCAAGAATTGTGCTAGGCATGGAAGTTAGAGCAGTGATTCAGGGCTCAGACACATGTCCTCCGGTCTGGTGCAAGGACAGATGTATGAACTGGCAGCTGTGGTTCAATGAACGGCAGGTGGCGAAGTGGAGAGAAGTCTGGATGCTAAGGAGGGAGTAAGAAGAGGGGCTGCCATTCAAACCAGCTCCCCATGGGCAGGTAGGAGTCAGCAAGGCTAAAAAGCAGCCATGTTGCCACATGGTCACCTCTTTCCTCCAATCACACCAGAACCTACGAAGGGCACTAAGCCTTCCTTCAAGGTGGGCAGGGGCTTAGCCCCCAGATTAGCTCTCTGGCCTCTTCCACCCTGGAGCCCCAGAAACACCTTTACCACATACCATTTGGTAATTCCTTATTTGCCCAGGGCAGGAAGTCAGTTTCATTTGCCTTGGATACTGGACAAATGTGTGTTGTCCAAATTCTTCATTCAACTTCTTTAGACTTTTAGACAGAAAAAATAAGAAGGCCTCCTTACCCCTGCAGCCTTAGAGATGTTCTTCATTAACACATCCTATCACAGTTCTGAGGCCCAGGTGAGGCCCGGCCATGCCCTGGAACTGGGCCAGAGGCCAGAAGAAAGGTCTAGAGCTCTACTTGGGCAGCTGAGCCTGCTTTTCCTTTCAGGCCTCTGATCTGGGTGTGTCTCCAGGAATTTACTCCTCCCCTGTCAGCTGCTGGCCAGAGCTCTGCTCCTGCCGCCTCTCAGATCTGTGGGCTGGGCCAGCCTGCTGAGTCTGGGCTGCTGCATATCTTTCTGCTTTGTCTTTCGGGCCCTGCTTCTGGGCCGTGGTGAATGTTGATGCTGTGTTGAGGGGTGTGCTGACACCCTGTAGAGCCTTCTCTTCAAGCTGGGAGTTCTGGGTGAACCCCCAGGGCACCAGAGGGACCCTGCAGTCACAAGATGTGCGCCTGCAAGTCATTTACGCAGCAGAGCTCAGAGCCCTTGCATGTAACCACAGTTCCCACTGCACCCACATCAAAGATTGCTTTCATAATCATTCGTAGCCAGAGGTTGCATGTCAAGGGCTGGGCAAGGGAGAAAAGCTGTTTTAGGGGAGCTCTCAAAGGAGATGGTATTGTGTGGAGTTGGGGGCGGCATTGGGGAGTGCTGGAGAGGCCCTCCTGGAAAGCCCGCATGTGACTTGCCAATAGAAAAACAGACACAGCTCCCTGTCTGCCAGCAACTGCCTTCCCAAGACTCCTACCTGGAGCTCTCCCTGTCTCATGAACTCACACATGAAGCAGCCTGACCCTTCCTCCCACCCTGGCTTGTGAGGCAGCTAGTTTGGGGTGGGGGACAGCCAGCGAGGCAGGCCTGGGACTTGACAGAAGCTGTAGCCCATCTTGGTGCAGAATGCAGCCCCAGGGAGCCCAGTGGTGGTGTCTGGCCCCGGCCAGGAGCTTGACTCCCCCAAGTGGCAGAAGGCTCTGAGGTTGCAGCTATTGGTCTCTGGTGGACAGGGCCACGGACAGCAAACACCCAGCAGGGCCAGGAACCCAGACCAGAGCTGGTTCTGAACGTGCTCTTTTTTGGAACAACAGGCTATCCTCAGGGCACAGCCAGGAAAAGGGGTAGGCGTGGGCTTCGGGGTGGGGGCCAGGTTGTGTGTGGGAACGGGCAGCTCCTCCAAGAGCAGCACTTATTTTTAGTCTTCTCCCCAGTCCCAAATAAACCAAGAGCAGCTGGGAGCATGTGGGTAAATGCAGAGTGGAGCAGAGACAGGAAATCAGGGTCTCTTGGTAATGAGTTCCAGCCACTCCAGAGAGGAAAAGCCAGACGAGGAATTTTCTTCGGGACTGTTTCCTTTTGGCAGGCTCTGGTATTATCACCAAAGGAATGTGTGTGTGTGTGTGTGTGTACACGTATGTGTACAACTCCTCTCCAAGTCTGTCTTTTTTCCCTACCTTTGCGTTAGGTTCGATTGCTCCGCGGGCTCTGTATCCCAGCGCTGGTGCCCGTGTGTTTCTGTGGGGGCGGTGGGGGAGGATTCTGGAGCAGCACGGTCTGGGCTGAGTCTTGTGTATCTGAAACTGTTTAGGGAAAGGCTGGAGGACACTGGCCAGGGAAGTGGGGAAACTTGAACACAGCTTGATGTCCCTGAGGGGGAGGGGGCAGAGGCAAGGAAGAGGAGAGAATTTGGTCTCCAGCCAGAAAAAAGGGCTTTTCAACCAAGGAATCTAACTGCTGACATGGGTGCCCAGCATGGATGGGGACATTGATGTTTACAAGCATTTTGCGTGGCTGAAGAGGGTAAGTGACTGGCTGCTTTGTCTGGGTCTCCGTGGAAACGAGTGAGGGGAGAGACCCTTTGGGTGTGGGGTGTGTGTATTGTGGGGGAGGTATTTGTCCAAGTTCTCCATGAGAATCTAATTATAGACAGTAGGGGAGAAATAGCCAGCTGTCTTTGTTTCTCCTGACATTCTGGTGAATGAGCCTCTGTATGGAAAGGCCAGAATGGAGTGAGGAAAGTTAGTTATTTTCAGTTTGGCACTTAAACAGTTGGAAGCTCTCAACATCGTGCCCAGGAAAAGGTGTCCACCGTTTTTCAATTTGAGGACACGAGTTGGAAGCTGCCGCCTTTGAAATGCACTGAATCGGGAAGTTGTTGAGCTTATTCTCAGCTCCAGTGTTATCCAGTGTGGGGAGGAGTGTGCTGTCAGCTGAAAGAGCTTCTGCGTTTCTGGAGGCAGGCTCTCTCGGGAGTTCTCTTCTGAGTGCTCTGAAGTTGAGAGTTTGGGTTGCAAGTTGTTGATGCCCTTTCTTGAGGGGATGAGTGTGAGCGTGCGGTGTGAGCGAGGAATGAATGAATGTTGAGGGCTGGAGTAGCATCCATACTCCCAGAACTCAGGCTCTTTCCCCATTTGTGACTGTCATAAAAAGATGGGTGTCCATTTATTTTCACTCTGAGGCTGAACGTTTTTCAGAGGCAGGAAAAGCAAAAGCAGCTGGCAGATAAGAGATATGACATTGTAACTAAGGAGGAACAGGAGGGACAGGAAGTATACAGCTCAGAAGGCCCGACCCCAACACCCAAACACTAGACCTATTGGCTTTTTCACGCACCCTCCACATTGCACATTCAGCAAATATTTATTGAGTTTCAGGTACTGGGTGTCCAGTGGTGAGCAAAGTGGAAGAAGCAGTCCCTGCTCTTGTGGATCTTCCATCTAGTGCAAGAGATAGGGGTTAAGCAGTCCTGGTAAATAGATCCCAAATTACAAATTGATAAGTGCAGTGAGGAGGAACAGAAGGCCCACAAGGGCTGTTGAAGATTGAGCAGGAGCTGTCAGGGGGGCCCTCTTCGAGGAAGTAACACTTTGTTGAAACCTGAAAGAGAAGTAGGAGTGAGTCAGGTGAAAAACAGGGCGAAGAACATTCCAGGCAAAAGTGATGGTATGTGCAAAGATCTGAAAGCAAGAGGGAGTCGGACGGGTTTCAAGCCTGGGAGAAAGCCAGTGTGGCTGAATTCAGTGTTGGAGAGGAAAGACAGGCAGATGCCAGATCACATAGGACAGCCAAGGCCACAGTGAGGGTTGTGGGGGACATGGTTCTATAATAGGGGACTCGTATTAGGGAAGTGACATGAGATACACGGGGGATCCAATTTGTATTTTAAGAAAATTGGCTGTGATCTGGTGTATGGTAAGTGGTGCTGTGAAAAGTGAAGCAGCTGAACAAAATTAGGGAGCTCGGGGCTTGTCAAGATCAATTAGTACAAACGCTTCATTTAACCAAGTCCCAAGAGGGGCTGAGACTCTTGTGGTTATTAGTGCTATAGCTGTTGGTGCAGCCTGATCTTGAACCTTGATCTGTCTCCCAGTTGACTTCTCTTTCCTCATGTCTTCTGCCAAATATGTAGAAAATTATTGGTTTTAGAACCCAGCAGAAATTCTGTCTGTGCTCAGCCCCTCTCAGCTTTGGGATGGGGACATTGCAGCCACCACAGAGCATGCTGAAGTGATCAGACATTTTGGCAAAGGTTTGCATCCATCATCTTAAGCATTTAAAAAGTTTCAATGAGGAGATACTGGGTGGAACTGGGTAGGACGTACTCTTCCCATCACTTAGTCTTTATTTTCCTGTTATCAGAAATGAAGCTTTTTAACTAGAAGGCCTTCCAGCTATGATGTGCCTGGTGTGGTTGGCGCCGTGCCCCAGCCACTAGGGTTGATGTACATCTGCACCTTGTGCAGAAGCTCTGCCTGTAGAGGAATTAGTTCTGCATGTGATACGATGTAAGACGGCCCCTCCTGTCCCGAGACCCAGGCTGAGACCTGACTCCTGTGGACAGTTGGAAGTCTGCTGAAGAAAGCTCTAAGCAGGGAGACTCCAGACGCCCCAGGATGACTCATAACAAAACAAATATTTTTCTTCTATTTTTAGAATTTTAAGGAACATTCAAAAAAGAAAAGCAGAAAGTATTGAATACGACATATAGGTAGTATAGTCAGAGTATCTTTCCTATTCTCTACCCTAAACCCTATTTCCCGATTCTTGTTTTTAAAAATCCTCTTTTAAAAAAACTCCCTTTTCATCCTATGACCCTGATCTTAAGCACCCGGGACTTGCCCTTAGTCTGCAAGAGAATGCCCAGGCTCTTTAGCCTGCTTGGCTTTTGAGACCTTTCGCAACTCAGCCTCAACTTACCCTTTCAGTTTCATCATTTATATTTACTCCGATGGGCTCCCAAGTATACTCCCTCCCTTTTCTGAGCTTGTACCCAATGCCCTCCTTCTAATTCCCACCCACTTCATCTGAGTCCATCGAGGACCTCCTGTTCCATGGGTCCCTGGCTGATCCCATCCCTGTAGAGGACTCCTCCAGCACAGATCTCCAGTACTTCCTGCCCGCCCGGCTCACCCACCCCTTCTTGTGTGCTTTCTCAAGCTGAGGTGGCTTGGAGAGCAGTTTTTTTTTCTTAGCCCAGGCTTTTGAAGGTGGGAACACTGTTCCTTAATATTCCCATGCAGAGGGGTAATTCTAGAAGAAGAGGTGCCTGGATGAGGTGTGAGCTGTTCAGTCTGACAGGGCAATGCCACAGAGCAAGGTGGTCTTTGAATTTGGGGCCAATAAGGGAGATGCCTGTGGTCAAGGAGGCACAGAACCTAGAGGGTTAGCATTTGCTCGGGAAAGAAACTTTGTCCTCGGCCTCGGGGAGGTGGGCATCCTGAGTACTATTACAGTTAAGAACATGCGGTTTGAAGTAAGGCCTGGCATGGGATCTTGGTTTTGCCACACTTAGCAGCTATGTGATCTTAGGTAGATTACCTCAAAAGCCTGGATTTCTCCATCTACAGAATAAGACAGTATCTGCCATACACAGGTTCTGTGAGGCTCAGGTAAGATAAAGTATGTAAAGTGCTAAGCAGTGGGCCATGAACATAGGAAGCATTCAATAAAGGTTAACCACTCCTGGCCATGACCAGGTGGGAGGAATGAAAGAGGAACAGGTGGGACCAGTTCGGTTCTCCCCTAGCCTGCATCTTATGCCATTCATTCCTTCAGCTCTAGGCCATTTTTCACATTTCAGATGAAGGTCTCAAACCAGAGCATACTAGGGACCCAGAAGAGACAGCTGCAACCTGGTGCACTGTGGGTAACCACAGGTCCCAGTGGTTACTGGCTCTGATTGCTGAGAGAAAGCTGATCAGGGCTGGTCCTCCAGTTTCTTCCCCAGCAGAGCCCAGGGACAAGGTAATCAGTCACAGGTATCCAGAGGGCCTCTGCCTTTCAGCTGTTTGGTTCCTGCCTGACTCACAAACAGTTCACACCTTCCCTGCTTTGAGACTAGTGGCTCCAACCCACATAGTCATGAAAGAGCCTCTAAAAGTAGCTCCAAGCAGAGTCTTTTCCCAGGAACAGAAATCCCAGCACTGTTAGCATCTTCACACTGTTACTGGCTTCTGGCGTTCTCCGTGTTCAAGCCAAATTCTAACCCAAAGTCACAAAGAAAATGGAATCACCATGGTCTTCTATGCAATTGGCTTAGTTTCTGCAGTGGAATGTGGAATGAGCTCAAGCTGCTAACGTGAAGCTTTATTCTGTGTCATCTGATGCTCAAGTCATTGATCCAGTTGGGCCTGAAGAGCTGCAAAGACAAATAGACACACAGGCATCCTAGACACTGGCTTGCTTTGTACTCAAGTCAGACTGCTGGGGAAATTGGAGAAGCAGACAGCAGCTTCTGTGAAAGCTGCTTCTGTTGGCTAAGAGCACGAGTCCTGGATCCACCTCCTTGGGTTCATATATCTCAACTCCATGTGACCTTGGACAGTTGATTTAACCTCCCAGGGATTCAATTTCCTTGACTGTAAAATATGGATACATAATCCAATATATGTAAAGTGCTTAGAAGGTACTCTGTAAGTATTAGTTATGGTGATGATGACCTCGACCATACTCCCCTCTCAACTGATGTCGCCACCTACTTAATTGGAAAAAAAAGGCAAAGGGATTAAGAAGTACAAATTGGCAGTTACAAAATAGTCACAAGGATGTGAAGTATGGTATAGGGAATATAGTCCATAATGTTGTAAAAACCATGTATAGTGCCAGGTGGGTACTAGACTAATTGGGGGGATCACTTTATAAATTATGTAAATGTCTAACCACTTTGCTGTATACCTGATTTTATTGAATGTCAACTCTAATTGAAAAATAAAAATAAATAGCCACACTTAGACAAATCATCTTCCTTTTCTAACATCATAAAATGTAACTATGTTCACAGCCATCATTTTTCAACCTCCTTCTGTTTCATGGGCCAAGAGTCTCTTCTCTTGGCCAAGGCTATCCCAGTATCCTGTCCTCCTGACCCAATCCTGTTTCACCTTCTTTTGTTCCTCTGATTGTTTCTTCTCTCAACTTCTCCCTGCCTATTTGCTCCTTGCCTTGGCAAGGAAATGCTTCTTCTCAATTCTTAGGGAAAAACAAATAAAAACAATCTCTAACTCTGTACTCGCCTCTCCAGGCTGTAACTTACCTTCCTTTCACCATCAGGAATCTTTTTAATTTTATTTTTGTTTTTCAATTATAGTTGACCTTCAATATTTTCTATTAGTTTTAGGTGTACAACATAGCGGTTAGACATTTATCTAGTTTACGAAGTGATCCCCCTCCCAATTAGTCTAGTACCCACCTGACACTATACATAGTTATTACAACATTATTGACTATTCCTGATGCTATCACTGCCATCAGGCATCTTGAAAGAGCAGGCTGAAAACTCACTAACTCTACTCCTTCCTGGT